CTCCACAACCACCCAGGGGATCGTTCCATATTCCTGGGCCCCATGGCGTGTCCTCGCGTCCTCCAGCTGTGCTTCCAGGGTCTCCATTCCCTAGGCGTCACCTACGTGTGACTGCACGGCTGCCGGCCTAAGAACAACTTAGGTAAGTGACCTCTACGTCGACCTGACTGAAAGGTAAGTCGTGTGCCGTGCACGCTCACCGCACCATGCGGAGATAACTACTACAACGAGAGCTAGACTACGGGCTAGGCACGGGTGCTCGTGTGATCTCTGCGTTCGTTGGTCCTTAGTCATTTTCCTAGTGCATACACAGCTTGCTAGTTCACAGGGAGAATTGGCAAGAGTTTCACTAGAGAAAGTTGACAACAATGATACAATGAAGTTTGCATAGCAAGACTACATCAGAGCTAGAATTCAGGTCGGTCGACTGCCAGCGCAGCATGGTCGACCGCGTTCCAGCACGACTTGGTCGACTGCGCTCCAGCAGTGCAAAGTCGACGGCGTGCCAACATCGCAGGTTGACGGCGTGCCAACATTGCTCACGCAGAACAGCAGCGCACCCACTTCGCAAGTGCGCGCAGCTGATTGGCGGGCTGAGCCTCGTCACCCGCACAACGCACACACCACGTCAACCTCATGCTGACGACTGCCTCTGATCGGCCATGTCGACCTCAGGATACCACCACCGAGGTTGGGCTCGCCAACTTCGCCTGGGCGACTGTCGCACTCCTCCGCAGAACCTCGTCACCCAGGTAACCTGGTCGACCGGGCAACCACGTCGACCAGTTGCTCCCGTACGTGCCCGTCGACCTCCTAAGACGACGGCCACCACCAAGTCAACCTCACCAGGTCGACCACGCCCCTAGGTCGACCAGCTCCAGGTCGACGAACCCTCCTGGTCGACCAGCTCCTCGTCGACCAGCGCAGTTGTCGGCCGACTTCCCAAGTCGGCTACCCGAAGTCGGCGTCACGAAGTTGACGCCCTGCTACCCGACGCCCAACTGCTCGGCGTCCTGAGTCAAGGTCGACGTCGGCCCCCCTTCGTCGACCACCAGGTCAGGTCGACCACCTGCAGGTCGACCAGCAGTCCGTCAGCCGACCACCGAAGTCGGCTGCCCCAAGTTGACGTCACCAAGTTGACGTCCTCCGCAAGTCCACCTCCCAGGTCGACCTCCCTGAAGTCGGCACCACCCCGACGTCGGCGCCCGTGCAGTGGTCCCCGTGCAGGTCGACCTCCTCGTCAACCAGCTCGCCCACTGCTGCAGGTCGGCTGCTCCCCTCACACCCGACCACGATGTCGGCTCCGCCCAAGCGAGGACGGGGCCAACACCCAACTCCCGTTGACAGTCCAGAGGTAGGATCAGCCAGAGCCACTGACACAGGAGTGAGGAGTGGCGTAAGGGTCGTGTGGCCGCGGAAGAAGCACTGAGACGCGCCCGAGTCCAGCGTGAACGATAGAGAGGCCTCAGCCGGAGGGTCACCTGACCCAGTCGCTACACAAGCACCTAGAGCAGCAACACAAGCACCTAAGCTAGACAGGCACAAGGCTACACTAGCAGGAGGCAAGCAGAACTACGAACACGCGAGCACACAGATCCATCAGCACTAAAGTCAGCATCAACATACAAAGCATGCTGACGCGCATCGTCCATGGACAGATCAAAGACATCAATCATACGGGCTAACAGACGAGACCAGCGAGGCGTGACCGCCAAAGGGCCCCAACGAGCCCGGTAGAGGTCGTCGAGGCGGCGGAAGCACCGCGCGGCAGAGTGGTCGTCGCGACCACAGAGACAGGGGCTGCCCAGCTCGGTGAGGCACCAGTGGGTGCAGGGGCCAGCGTCACGGCGAGGGGGGCGAGGGGCCCAGCTGGAAGAGCTGCTGCTGCGGCCGGTGCTCCCAGGGCCTCCCGGACCCCACTGCGGCGGGGGACCCCAGTGCTGCTGCGGACCCCACTGCAGCGGGGGCCCCCACTGCTGGAACTGCTGCGGTGCCTGCTGCTGCTGCTGTCCCTGCTGCTGCTGCTGTCCCTGCTGTGGCTGGTGCTGCTGTGGCTGCTGCTGCTGGGGGGCAACACCCCACCGGTCGGGCCACCACCTGTGGGTGGACCTGTCTGTCCTGCGCCTCCTCCAAGGCCCCCTCCCCCTGGTGCACCACCGCCGCCGCCGCCGCCGCCGCCTCCACCACCACCGCCGCTCCCACTTCCACCGCCCCCTCCACCGCCATCTCCTCCGCCCCCACCTCCCCCCTTCCTGCCCTTCTTGCCACTCTTGCCCCGTTTCTGCCAGTCTGCGGCAGAAATGGCAGCGTTGTCCTCAGTTACCGACACAGCAGCAGAAGCGCGGGTAGCGGTGAAAGTGGGAAGCTGAGGGGCGGCACACCCCGCAAAGAGACGGGGGGGCACCGCATCAGTGGCGGAGGCAACAGTGAGTAGGCTGCTCTTGATGGTCCCGAGAGCAGTCTGAAGGAGGTCTATAGTGAGTTCAGTGGGGTGCTTCGGAAGAAGCGCGTCGCGGGCAGTGGCAATGCGGTCAGGGAGGCGGGTGACTAACCAGTGCACAGTGAGCCACATGGGGGGGGGAGCAACAAGGAGCTGTGCGTCGGTACAGGCCGAACGAAAACCGGCGTCAAGCGAGCGGAGGTGAGTCACTAGGTCGGAAACAGTCGCAAACAAGCCTAGGTCGGGAAACACGAACGGCATGAGGAGGCGACTGAGGGAGGCGGAGGAGGGGGTGGAATAGCGAGCCACAATAGCATCCCAAACCCCCTTGGCTGTCTCCACCTGGTCAAAGTGAGCGGCCTCATTCGGGGGGAGAAGCTCCGATAGCGTGAGGGCGGCGGCCGCGTCACGAGAGAGCCACACGTCCCGAGCCAGGACCCGACGGTCGTAGTCCGCCTGGGCCGTAGGAGTCGGCTCCGGGGCGGTCGGCAGGGCGGCGGGGGACGGGGGTGCCGCGAGAGCACCCGACGCGTGGGCCGACAAAGTGGCGCCATCCTGACGCTGGCTGGTGAGGAAACGTGTGGTCTGGCGCTGCCAGGTACCGAACTCGATCGGGCGTCCCTCAGCATCGAAACGGAGGCGACGGGCCTCCATAGCGGAGCCCATGCTAGAGGCGACTGGAGCACGGCGGAGGCGGAGCTAAGAACGAGGAGGAAAACTAAGGAGGGCTAGGGACGCCAGCGGGGAAACCGACGAGAGACAGTCGGCGAGAAAATAGTCGTGGGGCGGGGCTTAAACCGAACCTAGGTGGCGCTACCGGAGGGAAGAGCGGCTGCCAGCCGCTGAGCCGGGAGCCAAATGCAGTAGGAATGGCGTGGGACCGGGGCACAGGTGAAGGGGAGAGAGATGCAGTAAGCGCACAAAGGGATGCGGTAAGCGCACGCAGGGGTGCGGTAAGCGCACGCAGGTGTGCGGTAAGTGCACGCAGGTGTGCGGGAAGCGCACGCATATGTGCGGGAAGCGCACGCATGTGTGCGGTAAGCGCACGCAGGTGTGCGGGAAGCGCACGCAGGTGTGCGGGAAGCGCACGCAGGTGTGCGGGAAGGTTTACGGAGGAGGGCGCGCGACAGGCGGAGGGGAGGGCACGCGACGGTCTAAGGAGGGCGCGCGACGGTTGAGGAGGGCGCGCGACGGCGGGGGAGGGCGCGCGACGGTGGGGGAGGGCGCGCGGTGGTCTAAGGAGGGCGCGCGACGGGCTGGACAGCGCGGGAGGGCGCGGGCTAGGCGCGGGGAGGGCGCGGAGGGCGCGGAGGGGGCGAGAGCACGGAGGGCGCGTAGGGCGCGGAGGCTAGCTAAGACCGAACGAGGATCTAACCTACTCGTGATACCATCTCAGAATAGGAATGCAACGGAATGGTTGGAATTAGGGTTTGCAAGGGTACAAATAGGAATCCTACAAAAGCTATACTCTCTATGGAGTACCTCACTGCAGCCTATCATAACATTAACATTTGACAATACTCTGTTAAGTCAGGGTCCACTAACAGGCTAGTCTGTTACACTATACTCAAAATCAGGGATACGAAATCTATTACTCTGATTGGATCTGGGTTGAGAACTCATTGATTCTGAAGTTTCAGTCTCCACAAAGTGTAAAGCCTGAAATCACCTTGAAATCAGGGTACTTACCTTGATAAAAACAGCCCTGCCACAGGGCCAGTTCAAGAGTTCACAGCAATAAAAAAAAGTACAGAAAGAAACAAGAGGCAAGACATCAGTAGCCGAGGGCCTACATTAACAAAGCCTAGCTGCAGACAGAACCGGTGGTGGTCACCAGGCGGAAGGGCCTTGGTGAAGATGTCTGCAGTGCTGGCCACTGAGGCCACGAAGTCCAAGCGTGCCTGGCCGTGTCGCTGCAACTCTTGGAGGAGAAAATACATGACGTCGATGTGCTTCACTCTACTCTCCAGTCGAGGAGGCGGGGGGAGGGGGTACGGGAGGTGTTCAACAGTTCTTGCACATGATGACACTACTTTCAGCTGCAGTGCGTTTGGGCCTTCCCATCCACCAACTTCTGGTTGCTGGCAAGTGTGTTTGCGATGTAGAGATTAAGGGCCCGTCGGGTCCTCACTATGCCCTTCGTTGTAAGCACCACTATGCCCCATCTCGTGTTCATGATGCAATGAAGCTTGTAGTCGCTAAGATAGCCAAGGCGTCGGGTGGGGTGGTTACGATCGAGGATGACACGTTTCCGCCGAGGCCCGAGGAAGAGAGTGGACGTGGCGGTTAGGAGACCGATGGATGGAGAAGCATATGCGCTCGAGGTGAGCGCCGTGAATCCGATTTGTCTACCGGTGCAATAGCATGGGCCGTGTGGGCGGTCAATTGGTTTTGCTGCCAAGGAGCGAGAGAAGAGAAAAGCGGTGGATTATCATCCTTTTCTACAGCAGCACAGGGGGGTACGTTTCTAACCGCTGATTCTTGAGATTTGGGGTTGCTTGAGGGAAAGCTTTTGGCAGTGGTTACAACAACATGGGGGGTATCAATCTAAAAACGGCTCTTAACAAAGGTGTGGGAAGGGGCAAAACGTCATCTCCAGCGGAATGACCGTTGGATCCGAAACATTGTTGTGCTTTATCGTGAGCAGCGCCCACTTGAACATATTAGGGTTGGAAGGAAGGGTCGGTGCGATCGACTGCCAGTAAATCCACGCCGAAGCGCCCATGATGTTGATCGCTTGGATCGCCGATCGCATCATGAACAACCCCACATCGGTGTCCTCCCCTCCCGCCCACATCGGCCCAATCTCCGACACCCACACCTCCTTCCCCACGCCCATCCCCACCCGCGCTAGCCACACATAGAGCTGCTCGATATACTCCCTTGTGTCGGTTGTGGTGGGCGGCGGAGGGACATACCCGTGCACGGAGATCCTTTTCAGGCTGGATAGCAGCTGCCCGGTCCATTTCTTTGCGTTCCGCACCGTGAACCCGACGAAGCTGTCGAACCCCGCAACTTGCGTGGGAAGCTTCCTCCGCTTCAGCGCAGCCGCGACAATTTTGCAAAGCCGCTCCAACTCAGCAGCCGTGAAGGTGCACCCCTCGTGCTTCCCCCCCTGCGTCCACCACCCCTCCAGCGGCTCATTCGCCGGATTCATCGTGCTGAACGTCACATTCCACTCCCGCCGGAAATGGTCCGTGATGGTCGCCAAATACTCGGCAAACTCGCCGTACCTATCTGGTGAGAGGTTCGACGCTCCGCCCACATTCCCCGCAGTGTCCCCACTGATGGTCATCCACCAGGGCGCCGAGTACGCAATCGCCTCCACCTCATCCAACCCGCGCTCCATCGCTCCTTTCAGCACCTTCCGCTGCCGCCAGTCCGCCGCCCAGTCGTACGGGCCGGCCTCGGTCGGCTTGTAGCCGGGGAGGTTGACCTGGTGAAAGGTGTCTTTGGTGAGCTGCGGGCTGTTGGTGGCGTTGAAGCTGGCGCCTAGGAGGTAGCGCGCGAGGTTGAACCCGATTCCCGTGGACGGTGAGAAGAGCAGGTCCAGCAGCGTGGTGAGCTGGTCGTCTGGCAGCTTGCCTATGTAGTTGGCAGTCCTGGGGGATGGGGAGGGGCAGGGGTAGGGCAGGGGGAGGACAGGGGGAGGGCAGGAGGGGGAAGGGGAAGGAAAGGGGGAAGGGCGAAGGGGGAAGGGGGAGGGGAAAGGTCGAGGAGCGTGGTGAGCTGGTTGTCTGGTAGCTTGCCAATGCAGTTGCCTAAGAAGGGGCAAGGCGGGGAGGGCAAGAGGCGAACCGCGGGTTTGTGGGGTGGGAGCAGTTGAGATGGACGGGAAATAGGTGGCCTAGGTACAGAAAGACCGAGGTGGTTGAAGGGACAAGAGAGGGGGTCATGCACTCACTGCCCCATGCACTCACAGCCCCATGCACTCACAGCCCCATGCACTCACAGCCCCATGCACTCACAGCCCCATGCACTCACAGCCCCATGCACTCACAGCCCCATGCACTCACAGCCCCATGCACTCACAGCCCCATGCACTCACAGCCCCATGCACTCACAGCCCCATGCACTCACAGCCCCATGCACTCACAGCCCCATGAACTCACAGCCCCATGCACTCACAGCCCCATGAACTCACAGCCCCATGCACTCACAGCCCCATGCACTCACAGCCCCATGCACTCACAGCCCCATGAACTCACAGCCCCATGCACTCACAGCCCCATGCACTCACAGCCCCATGCACTCACAGCCCCATGCACTCACAGCCCCATGCACTCACAACGCCGTACAGTGTTTATCCTGCAGTCATCATGCAAAACCACGAATGATCATAAAGTCATGCTCACCACTCTCTCGCACTCACCACTCTCTCGCACTCACCACTCTTTCGCACTCACCACTCTCTCGCACTCACCACTCTCTCGCACTCACCACTCTCTCGCACTCACCACTCTCTCGCACTCACCACTCTCTCGCACTCACCACTCTCTCGCACTCACCACTCTCTCGCACTCACCACTCTCTCGCACTCACCACTCTTTCGCACTCACCACTCTTTCGCACTCACCACGCCAAAGACGTGCCCCAGCCTCTCCAGGTCTGCCCACTGAGATCCGGACTGATGGTGATGCTGGCTGGGCCTGGCAGACAGGCAGGGGGAGGAGGGGGAGAGAGGGGAAAGGGGTAAAGCGGGGGGGGAAAGGGGGGGTGGGGTGGGGGGGCACGGGCACTGGTCAGGCGTGCATGGGAGACTAGACTAGGGTAACGTTAACAAAAGACGCCCGGACTGATGGTGACGCTGGCCGGGGCTTGGGACAGGGAGTGCGGTGCGGAGGACACCTCTCAGGCGCGCATGACATGGGAGACTGGGTGGCGTTAACAAATGACGCCCGGACTGGTGGCGATGCTGGCTGGGGCTGGGGACAGGGAGTGGGGCGGGGAGCATTCAGGCGTGCATGGGAGACCTGGGTAACGTTCACAAATGACGCCCGGACTGATGGTGGTGATGGCTGCGCCTGGAGAGACAGGGGAGCGAGGGGAGGGGGGAAGGAAGGAAGAGAGAGGGAGACGAGAGGGGAGGTGAAGGTGCAGTTGCGGTCCAGAGTGAAGGTGATGCTGATGCTGCTGGCTGGGGGTGGCGATGAGGGAGAGAGGTTTAGAGGGGAGAGGCAAGAGGAGGGGAAGGTAAGGCCACAGGCCCACAGGTCCACAGGTGAGGTCGACGGGGATGGTGATGCTGGCTGGGGGTGGCGATGAGGGAGAGAGGGGAGGGTGAGGAGGAAGGATGATGGTTATGCTGGTAAACGGGAGCGGGCAAGGGAAAACGGGCGCATAGGAAGAAGATTTGGGAAGAGAGGGAAGGGAGGGAAGCAAGGGACGAGAACAGCTGAGGTGGACTGATGGCCATGCCACGTGTCATGCTGTCATTCCACACTTTTCTGTGCTATGCTGTCACCACGCCACGCCATGCCATGCGTGTGCAGGAAAGGAGTCTCCGCGCAGTGACTCAGTCAGACTGTCCATCCGTACGGCCATAACCGAACCTTCTCCACGCATCTCAACCCATCTGAACCCATCACCCACTCACCACACCTCCCATCACCTCACATCACACCTCATCACCGCTCATCACCCCCCATCACCATGCGAGCCCTACCAGCGGAGCGACACACGGTGATCACTTCATTCGGGGGGGTGAGAGTCGACGCCGCCGCCGCCGGCTCCGCTCGTCCCGGTCCCCCCTTTACCCCCGCTCCGCCCGCTAACCCCGCTCCCCCCATTACCCCCGCTACCCTTGCTACCCCCGCTCCCCCCGCTCCCTCCGCGCCTTCCGCGCTGCTCTCCGCCTCCAGCGGCGCCCACACGGTGCTGGCGCGCCACTTGTTGCGCGCCACATCCAGCAGATCGCCCCGCGTCGCCGTCTCAGGCTCGTCCCCCCCGCCACCGCCGCTGCCGCTGTCGCTCAACGGAGACGTGGACGCGCCGCCGTGCGGGGGGGAGTCGAGCGGGGAGGAGGGCTGCGCGGAGTGCAGCGAGAGGTGGTTGAAGCAGGCGGGGTCGAGGAGGGCGGGCGGAAAGAGCTGCGGAAGGAGCGCCTGCAGCGCGCACGGGTCGAGCTCCACCTCGCGCAGCGGCGGCGCAGGCGGCGGCGGCGGAGGCTTGTTGACGTGAGCACTCGTCGCGACGCCAGCTGCGGTAGCGGCGACGCTGGGCTGTTGCTGTGCGACGAGCAGGCGATGCGGCGGGGAGCGCGCCGCTTGCGGCTGTTCTAGTCGCGACGAGTCCCCGGAGTCGCCGCCAAGATTGTCTGAGTTGTAGAAATCGAGAAACGGGTGTAGCAGCGACCAGGCGGTACTAGGGAAGGCGGACGAGCCGTAATTTGAAGATGAAGACTCATCGTCGCGTGATGCCGGCTGGTGAAGAGGGGAAAGGCCGTGCCGGGCGGACGGTAGTAGGGACGACGCGGGGGCGGCGCCGGAGGCTGCGGAGGCGAGAAGCAGCACGCAGCACGCGCATAACGCCGCGGAGAGGCGCGTGGCTGCGCGGATGGAGAAGCGTGAGGAGTGAAGGGGGAGGTTGTGAGGCGGAGCCATCATGTGCGCTGGCGACGGTCGTCTGCCCCGCTGTCTATCTGTCACTGTCGCTGTTACTGTTTATGTTTATGTTACTGTTACGATGTTAGTACTGCGATGTTACTGTTACGATGTTAGTACTGTTTCAGGCCACGGTTAATCACGGGTTCGCCGTCTAAGGCGCGTTTCAAAAGGCTAGATTAGGAGGCACCATCCCACGCGTGCGGTGCCCGCGCGATTCTCGGCGTCAGAAGCACACGGCTCCAAGGAAAGCTTTTTGTGCAAAGCGCATCGGAAGAAACTCTGCGCTTAGCCGGCAGGTCAGGTTGGGTTGAAGCACTACATCTTTCTTTACCCTAACTCATCATATCCGCTCCGCATGTGCGGAGGGAATTATCTATCACCGTACTGTAGTACCGACATCAGCGACCGAAGGACGGCAGGTGGATATTTGCGAAAACAGATTTTCGAGTGAGCGTTGCGATGCGATGCGATGCGATGCGATGCGATGCGATGCGATGCGATGCGACTGTGCGAGCACAGAGTCTGCTGTCGGTGAGCTTCGTGGTCTGAAATTTGGCGGAGGTTCGGCCTTGTCAGACTTGTCAGCCTTGTCTTGTCAGCCTTCCAACCATGACACCGAACTGGAACCAGAATCAACAAGGCTGACACCGAACATATGCGGCCAATATCATTGATACTCAAAGTATGCCAGATAATTTTTGCGTCGGTACTCAACCTAGATTTCTCATCGCTGATTGGTTCTCGCTTTTGAATCACACTTTCACACTAATAACACCTCCGAAATGTGACAGAAACAAAACGCGATTACCAAGTTACATATGAACAATTGTACCCAAGAAATAAAAATTTGTATCAAGCGCAAATTGCGTAAAAAAAAAAACAATTAGGGAAAAAAGGATGCAGACTGAGAATAATTCAACGTAATGGGGTCGACGGCACCGTCAACCCTCCGTCGACCATGAACCTGCTGACCTAGAACAGAAAACTAAAACCACATCGAATGTCGTATTATGTAACGGAGACATCAACCTTAAACGTCATGCGACAATGTGTTTAGGGTTGATGCTATTCGGACTGGATGCCTTTCCGCATGGGGTTTATTTTTAATTGCATGTAGATAGCAAGCTCTGCTGGACGGTGTTGTTTGTTCGTTGAGATAATCCAAGCAGAAGGCATAGTTGTCAAACATTATATATATGTTATTGCTGTGTAGGCTATAGTGGGTTAGCCTTTAGGGGGTACACAACTCTAGGGTTTCATACTTGTACTCCAATGTTTCATAGTTCAACCACTTCTTGTTTCTGACATGGTATTAAGAGCTTAGGTCCTAGTCCTAGAACCGCTTACCTAAGGGTCCACCGCTAGAAGCGCCCTCGAGCGCCGTATCTACTTAGCGCCCTCGAGCGCCTCTCTCCTAGTGCGCCCTGTCAGACTTATATGCTATAGTCTGTGTAGGCTGTAGTGGGGTAGACAATATGGGGTACAACACTTTTAGGTTTTCCTACTTGTGCCCACCTGTTTCCTAAAGCATTCATTCCTTGTTCTTATTCTCACATGGTATTAGAGCAGAATCGTTCCTAGGGCCCACCGAACGTTCCGCCCTGCCCTAACTGAATTTTTTTTTTTTAGCTGCCCCTGCAGCCGCGCTGCCCTTGCAGCCGGCGTGCTCCCCCTGCGACCGTGCTGCCCCTGCAGCCGTGCCCGCCCGTGCAGCCGTGCCTGCCCCTGCAGCCCGTGGGCGCTGCCTCTGCATCAGTGCCTGCCCCTGCAGCCCGTGTGTGCTGCCCCTGCAGCCAGCGCGCTGCCCTGCCGAGCCGCGTGTCGCCCGTGGGTGCTGCCTCTGCCCTGCCGAGCCGCGTGACGCCCGTGGGCGCTGCCTCTGCGACCCTCGTGTCGCCCCCCGCTGCCCCGTCGCGCTGCCCTGGTAAGCCGCGCGCGACCCCCCGCTGCCACGTCGAGTCGCCCTCGGGAGCTGCGCTCGGCCCCCCGCTGCCCCGTCGCGACGCCCTGGGGAGCCGCGCTGGGCCCCCGCTGCCCCGTCGCGACGCCCTGGGGAGCCGCGCTCGGCCCCCGCTGCCCCGTCGCGACGCCCTGGGGAGCCGCGCTCGGCCCCCGCTGCCCCGTCGCCACGCCCTGGGGAGCCGCGCGCGACCCCCCGCTGCCCCGTCGCGACGCCCTGAGGAGCCGCACGCGCCCCCCCCCCCCCCCCGCTGCTCCGTCGCGGCGCCCTGGGGAGCCGCGCTCCGTCCCCCTCGCTGCAGCCCGCGAGCCGCCTCTGCAGCACCGAGTGCGACCTGCCAAACCCAAAAAAAAATATTAATTAAAAAAAAAAAAAAAAAGGAGCCCTAGGTGCTGCTGCCCTAGGTGCTACTGCTGCTACTGCTGCTACTGGCGGCCGCCCCTGCCCCGCCCTGCAGCAGCTGACGTCGCGGCCCTGCCCCGCCCTGCAGCAGCTGCCGTTGGGGCCCCTGCCCCGCCTTGCAGCAGCTGACGTCGCGGCTCTGCCCCGCCCTGCAGTAGCTGCCGTTGGGGCCCCTGCCCCGCCCTGCAGCAGCTGACGTTGCGGCCCTGCCCCGCCCTGCAGCAGCTGCCGTCGCGGCCCGGCCCCGCCCTGCAGCAGCTGCCGCAGAGCTCCCTGCCGCGGTCGCGGCCCCGCCCTTCAGCAGCTACCGCGGAGCCCTCGCCCTGCAGTGGTAGCGGCCTCGCCGTTGCCGCCGTCGTACGCCTGCCCTTCTCGCCACTGGTGAGCACTGCCCTGCCCGTACTGCTGTTACTGCTGCTCCTGCTGCTACTGTTTTTTCTACAGCTACTGCTGCTCCTAGCGTGGCCAGATGCAGCTCCAGCGCCGTCCGCGTGAGTCCCTCACGCCCCAGCAGCTTCGTGAGTGGTACGCTAGCTGGGGTTGTAGGGGTGGCCGTGCTGCTACTACTGCTACTGCTGCTACTACTGCTACTACTGCTACTACTGCTACTGCTGCTACTGCGGCTACTACTGCTACTACTGCTACTGCTGCTACTGCTGCTACTGCGGCTACTACTGCTACTGCTGCTCCTGGCGGTGGCCAGATGCAGCTCCAGCGACGTCCGCGTGAGTCCCTCACGCCCCAGCAGCTTCGTGAGTGGTACGCTAGTTGGGGTTGTCGGGGTGGCCGTAGTGGGAGTCGTCTTGGAGTGAGTAGTTCGGGAGCTTCTTGTAGTGGCCAGGTGCAGCTGCGGCGTCGTCCGCTCGCGGTCCTTTCGCCCCAGCAGCTTCGTGAGTGGTACGCTCAGCGTGGAGGGTCACGGGGTACTGCTCGCTGCCCGTACGTGATTCGCACTGGTGCTCGGACTGGTCAGCCTTGCGGGACGTTTGGTCATACAGAGTCCCGCTGCTTCGCTCGTCTGAGCGACGCCTGGCGTACTGCGTTTGGCGACGCGGCTGAGCTCTTGACTCTGATGCTATCCTCACTGCCATGCATGCATTGCCTACTAGTGCTGAGGGTGCCTGTTACCTGTGTGTGCCGCCTGACCCCGGTATCCAGTCTGCTGCTCTAGGTGCTGGTGAGGCTGCTGCTCTAGGTGCTGGTGCGTCTCCTGCTCCAAGTGCCGGTGAGGCTGCTGCTCTAGGTGCTCGTGAGTCTACTGCTCCAGGTACTGGTGAGTCTGCCCTCTCTGGTGCTGCGCCTGCTGCGATCTTCCACACCTTCACCCTTGACTCGGGAGCTTCTCGCTCCTTCTTTCGAGACCACACCACACTCACGCCACTTAGTCGGCCGGTTGCAGTCTCCCTGGCAGACCCCTCTGGGGGTCCTGTCCTTGCCCACTACTCCACTGTCCTACCGTGTCCGGCGGCCCCTTCTGGCTCCCTGTCAGGTCTTTACCTCCCCTCGTTCTCTACGAACTTGGTGAGTGGTGCTGACCTACAGGATGGGGGGGTTGACCAGTTCACTCCTGCGAGTCAGCGAGTGACCCACTGCACGTGTGCTCGGACGGGCCGACACTTGGCCACGTTTACCCGTCAGCCGGGGTCGAGCCTGTACACACTCACTACCGAGTCTCCTTCGGTTCCTGCGTCTGGTCAGGTAGCTGCGTCGAGTCAGGTGTTTGCTGCAGCGTCCAGGTCTGGTCCTGAGTCTGCCCCCTGCTCGTGTCGTCTCCTGTCTCACCAGACTCTCCTCTGGCACCACCGCCTTGGTCACCCCTCCCTGCCTCGTCTCCGGGGCATGGCCTCCCGTGTCCTTGCCTCTGGTCTGCCCCGGTCCCTCCCTCCCCTTCCCCCGGGGCCTGCCCCTACCTGCGTTCCCTGCGTCGAGGGGCGGCAGCGCGCCGCTCCTCACTCCTCCGAGTTTCCTCCGACAGAGGCTCCGCTGCAGACTCTCCACATGGACGTGTGGGGCCCAGCCCGCGTCCGTGGACAGGGTCACGAGCGTTACTTCCTTCTGGTGGTTGACGACTACTCGCGTTACACCACAGTCTTCCCCTTGCGCAGCAAGGGTGATGTCACTGAGGTGTTGATCGACTGGATCCGCGCAGCTCGTCTCCAGCTCAGGCAGAGCTTCGGCTCGGACTTTCCTGTTCTGCGTCTGCACTCTGACAGAGGTGGAGAGTTCTCCTCTGGCCTTCTGCGAGCCTACTGTCGTGCACGAGGCATCCGCCAGACCTTCACGCTTCCGGACTCTCCACAGCAAAATGGGATTGCTGAGCGCCGCATTGGCATGGTCATGGACGTCGCCCGTACGTCCATGATGCATGCGGCTGCCCCCCATTTTCTGTGGCCGTTTGCGGTTCGGTACGCGGCCCATCAGATCAACCTTCACCCCAGGGTCTCCATGCCGGAGACCTCCCCAGCTTTGCTGTGGACGGGGAAGGTTGGCGATGCGTCTGCGTTCCGTGTCTGGGGATCTCGGGCGTTTGTCCGCGACTTGTCTGCGGACAAGCTGTCCCCTCGTGCTGCTCCTTGCGTCTTCCTTGGCTTCCCCCCTGACGCGCCAGGGTGGCAGTTCTACCACCCCACCTCTCGCCGTGTTCTGTCCTCCCAGGACGTCACGTTTGACGACTTGGTGCCGTAATACCGTCTCTTCCCCTACCGCGCTGCCCCCCTCCCCCCCCCGCCGCTCTTCCTCGTGCCAGGTCCCCCCCCGGTAGACCCCGTTCCCCCTCAGGGTCCTGCCCCCTCAGGTGTGTCTCAGGTAGACGCAGTCGAGCCTGTCGAGGTAGCTGTTGACTCTGGTGCTGCTCGGGGTGCTGCGCCTGCCGTTGCCGGGTCTGGGGGTGCTGAGCATGAGCGTGCGGAGCCTGGGGGTGCTGGGACTGGGGGTGGTGAGTCTGGGGGTGCTGAGCCTGGGGTTGCTGAGTCTGGGGGTGCGGAGCCTGGGGGTGCGGAGCCTGGAGGTCCTTCGGGTGCTTCGCCTCGGAGGGAGCTACCCTCTCCACAGGAGCTGCGCGAGTGGTTTGCTCGGCGTTGGAATCGTGCTGCTGGAGCTGGTGTTGCTGCTGGTGCTGGAGGTTCTACTGCTGCTGGGGGTGCTGGAGCCACGGGTCCCGGAGGTGCTCGTACTGGAGGTACTGGAGCTGCTGGGCCTGGTGGTTCTACTGGTGCTGGACCTGCTGGAGGAGCTGGAGCTGGGGGTGCTGCTGGAGTAGGTGCTGCTGGGGGTACAGGAGCCGGTGCTGCTCCGTCTTCTGGTGGTCCTTTTGGCGCTGGAGCTGTTGGAGGTTCTGGAGCTGGAGGTGCTGCTGGAGCTGGAGCTGGAGGTTCTGGAGCTGGAGGTGCTACTGGAGCCGGTGCTCCTGGAGCTGCTGGAGTTGGCGGTGCTGGTGCTGCTGGAGGTGCTACTGGAGCTGGTGGTGCTCCTGGAGTCGGAGCTGACGCTGGGGGTGCTGGTGCTGTCCCTGCTGGTTCTGGAGGTGCTGCGCGGCCTCGGCCGTACTTCGTTCCCCTCCTTGAGCAGGTTCTTGGCCTTCCGCCTTCTTCTGGTCCTTCTCCTGCCTTAGAGTGTCCACCGTCCGTCCCGTCCGAGTCACAGTTACAGCTGGCCTGTCCACTGCCAGCCCCTTCTCCCTACACTGGTCCTACTGGAGGTCTTGCTGAGCGTCGTGCGCCTGCGTCTCGCCCTGCGTCGCCTGTTCGTGATGTTCGCGCTAGTCGTCGTGTTCCGCGTCAGCGTCCTCCTGCGGTCCCGGGCACGCATCAGATGGCAATGCGTCCTTCCACTGCTCCGCATCGTGTCCCTTTGCCGTCTCCTCCAGAGTCCTCTCTTCCTGCTCTTGCTGACCCGGGGTCTGACTCTCTTCGTGCTGCCAGTCCTACTGTCACGCGTCTCCTGGCTATTGTTGTCACTGACCCTTCCTTTGAGCCCACTGCTGCGTCTGCCTTAGTTGCTGAGCTTGTCGACTTCGCTGCTCACTGTCGTCTAGACTACGCCGCGAGTCTTGTTGATGAGTCTGAGTCTGTCTGTCCTCCGTCCGTCGGGGGTGAGTGTGCTCTTAGCACGGACGTCCTTGAGGACAGGCAGGAGGAGTTCCAGTGTTTTGCTGCTGCTTTGCCTCATCTCGTGCCCATGCTGATTGCCCCTGAGGGAGACCCGGATGCACCAGACATCCCGACTCCTCGATCGTACGCTGAGGCGATCGAGGGTCCCTACTCCTCACAGTGGCAGTCAGCCACGCAGAGATGGCTTCCTGGAAGTCCACAGGCACCTACGTCGACGATGTTCCCCCACCTGGGGCGAACATCGTCAGTGGCATGTGGATTTTCAGGGTGAAGCGGCCGCCGGGTTCTCCGCCTGTCTTCAAGGCTCGTTACGTGGCTCGAGGCTTCAGTCAGCGGCAGGGAGTTGACTACTTTCAGACCTTCTCTCCCACCCCGAAGATGACCACTCTTCGGGTGCTGCTGCACATAGCCGCTCAGCGTGACTACGAGCTTCACTCTCTTGACTTCAGCACAGCTTTCTTGCAGGGCAGCCTTCACGAGGAGATCTGGCTGCGCCGCCCACCTGGCTTCACTGGGTCGTTTCCTCCTGGTACCCAGTGGAGCCTCCGGCGGCCAGTCTACGGTCTCCGCCAGGCGCCCCGTGAGTGGCACGACACACTGAGGACTACACTTGCGGCTCTTGGGTTTGCTCCTTCTACTGCCAACCCGTCGCTGTTTCTGCGCACCGACACCTCTTTGCCGCCGTTCTACATCCTCGTGTACGTCGACGACTTGGTCTTTGCCACTGCTGACACTGCTGGACTCGCCCACGTGAAGTCGGAGCTGCAGAAGAGACACACGTGCACAGACCTGGGTGAACTGCGCAGCTACCTTGGCTTGCAGATCACCCGGGACAGAGCACAGCGCACCATTACCCTGACTCAGTCACACATGGTGCAGCAGGTCCTTCAGCGCTTCGACTTCACGTACTCCTCGCCTCAGGCCACTCCTCTGTCTACTCGCCACTCGCTCTCAGCTCTGCCTTCGGATGAGTCCGTAGAGCCGAGTGGCCCGTACCCAGAGCTTGTTGGCTGCCTCATGTACCTGATGACCTGCACACGACCTGACCTTGCATACCCTCTTAGCATCCTGGCACGCTATGTTGCTCCTGGGAGACACCGACCAGAGCACATGGCTGCAGCGAAGAGGGTGTTGCGCTACTTGTGCAGTACGTCGGGCATGGGGCTAGTGCTTGGAGGGCGGCGTTCAGTGGTCCTCACAGGTCACGCATACGCTTCTTGGGCTGACGACCAGGCTACGCAGCGGTCGTCACAGGGTTACACCTTCAGCCTTGGTTCTGGCTCTGTTTCGTGGCGGTCTACCCGCTCGTCTTCTGTTCTCGGCTCCAGCTGTGAGGCTGAGATCTACGCGGGGGCCATGGCTGCACAGGAGCTACGCTGGCTCACCTACCTGCTGACTGACCTAGGAGAGCCGCCTCGTTCTCCTCCAGTTCTGTACGTAGACAACAAGGCCATGTTGGCCTTGTGTCGGGAGCACAGACTGGAGCACAGAACGAAGCACATTGCTCTTCGCTACTTCCTTGCTCGTGAGCTATAGCAGCGTGGTCAGCTGCGCCTTGCTTACGTGGCCTCTCAGGCCAACACTGCTGATATCTTTACCAAGGCACTTCAGCCTTGTGATCATCAGCGCTTTTGTACGATGCTAGGTCTTGTGCCTACTTGGCCTCACTTGCTTACTTCTTGACCTTGCTTGTACTGTGTTCTATATATACCTGCACTTGCTTGTTTACCTTTATATATATGATCCTGCATGTGAACTAGCCTTGTGGCCTTGAACCTGTGCTCGGAATGTGTGGTGACGTTGTGATCCACCCTGAGCTTGCTTTGCTTTGCTTGACTGGTCTTGTGACCCCTTGTTCTCCCCCACTTTGCCTATGGGGGTGTGTCAGACTTATATACTATAGTCTGTGTAGGCTGTAGTGGGGTAGATAATATGGGGTACAACACTTTTAGGTTTTCCTACTTGTGCCCACCTGTTTCCTAAGGCATTCATTCCTTGTTCTTATTCTCACACGCCCTCGTGCGCCTCCCTTCCTCCTGCTGCCCGTGAGAAGAAACAAGGAATGAATGAACTATGAATGAATTGGGTACAAGTACTAACCCTAATTGGGTTGTACCCCTTATGGGCTACCCCACTATAGCCTACACAATATGCATGAGCCATAATGTTCTGACACACCCCCATAGGCAAAGTGGGGGAGAACAAGGGGTCACAAGACCAGTCAAGTAAAGCAAAGCAAAGCAAGCTCAGGGTGGATCACAAAGTCACCACACATTCCGAGCACAAGTTCAAGGCCACAAGGCCAGTTCACATGCAGGAGTACATATATATAAAAAGGCTAGACAAACAAGAGCAGGTATATATATATGTAACAGTACAAGCACGGTCAAGAGGTGAGCAAGTGAGGCAAGGTAGGCACAAGGCCCAGCTGAGTACAGAAGCGCTGATGGTCACAAGGCGCAAGCGCCTTGGTGAAGATATCAGCAGTGTTGGCCTCAGAGGCCACGTAAGCAAGACGCAGCTGACCACGCTGCTGCAGCTCACGAGCAAGAAAGTAGCGAAGAGCAATGTGCTTCGTTCTGTGCTCCAGTCGCTGCTCCCGACACAAGGCCAGCATGGCCTTGTTGTCTACGTACAGCACTGGAGGAGAACGAGGCGGCTCTCCGAGGTCAGTGAGCAGGTAGGTGAGCCAGCGAAGCTCCTGTGCAGCCATGGCTCCTGCGTAGATCTCAGCCTCACAACTGGAGCCGAGAACAGAAGACGAGCGAGTAGCCCGCCACGAAACAGAGCCGGAACCAAGGCTGAAGGTGTAACCCTGTGACGACCGCTGCGTAGCCTGGTCGTCAGCCCAAGAAGCGTCTGCGTGTCCAGTAAGGACCACTAGACTCTGCCCTCCAAGCACAAGCCCCATGCCCGACGTACTGCACAAGTAGCGCAACACCCTCTTCGCTGCAGCCATGTGCTCCGGTCTGTGTCTCCCAGGAGCAACATAGCGTGCGAGAATGCTAAGAGGGTATGCAAGGTCAGGTCGTGTGCAGGTCATCAGGTACATGAGGCAGCCAACAAGCTCTGGGTACGGGCCACTCGACTCTACGGACTCATCCGAAGGCAGAGCTGAGAGCGAGTGGCGAGTAGGCAGAGGAGTGGCCTGAGGCGAGGAGTACGTGAAGCCGAAGCGCTGAAGGACCTGCTGCACCATGTGTGACTGAGTCAGGGTAATGGTGCGGCGTGCTCTGTCCCGAGTGATCTGCAAGCCAAGGTAGCTGCGCAGTTCACCCAGGTCAGTGCACGTGTGTCTCTTCTGCAGCTCGGACTTCACGTGGGCGAGTCCAGCAGTGTCAGCTGTGGCAAAGACCAAGTCGTCGACGTACACGAAGATGTAGAACGGCGGCAAACGTGGCCAGGTGTCGGCCTGTCCGAGCGTCCGTGCAGTGGGTCACCCGCTGACTCGCAGGAGTGAACTGGTGAACCCCCGCATCCTGTAGGTCAGCACCACTCACCAAGTTCGTAGAGAACGAGGGGAGGTAAAGACCAGACAGGGTGCCAGAGGGGGCTGCCGGACACGGGAGGACAGTGGAGAAGTGAGCAAGGACAGGACCTCCAGAGGGTTCTGCCAGAGAGACCGCAACTGGCCGGCCAAGCGGCGTGAGTGTGGTGCGGTCTCGAAAGAAGGAGCGAGAAGCCCCCGAGTCAAGGGTAAAGGTGTGGGAGGCCGAAGCCGACGCCGAACCTGAGAGAGCAGACTCACCAGTACCTGAGGGAGCAGACGCACCTAGAGCAGCAGCCTCGCTAGCACCTAGAGCAGCAGTCTCACCAGGACCTAGAGCAGCAGTCTCAATGCCCGGGTCGGGCGGAAAACACCGGTAACAGTCACCCTCATCACTAATAGTCACAGTATACATGGCAGCAAGAATAGCATCAAAGTCAAGGTCAAAGACAGCCACACCCGCCCTAGACAGCTCACCCCAGCGGGGGATCTCAGTGGCCTCAGGGAACTGGTGACGCCAAGCGTCCGTCAGGCGGCCAAAGCAGCGCTGGGTGGAGTGCGCACCCCCGCACTGCTCACCCGCGCGGTCGTCGGTGCGCAGGACGTAGGTGCACGGACCAGTACCCCAACCCCTCTGGCGTGCAGAGTACCACTCACGGAGCTGCTGAGGGGAGGGGACGTCACGAGTGCGCTGCTGGTGCTGCTGCTGCTGGCGCTGACCACCACCGGAGCTGACCCTCTGCGCTGCGCCACCCCGACCAGCTCCACCTCTTCCGCCGCCTCCTCCTCCACCGCCGCCACCTCCGCTCCCTCCGCCACCGCCGCTGCCGCCTGCGCCTCCACCGCCGCCACCTACACCTCCACCCCCGCCACCACCCCCACCGCCACCCCCACCTCCTCCACCGCCTCCACCGCCGCCTCCACCGCCCCCGCTAGCTCCTCCAGCGCCCCTGCCCCCCTTGCCCCTGCCAGGGCGGCGTCTCCCGCTGGGGGTAGACGCTGCCCCAACCGACTCCAAACCAGCGAGGTCGGCCGCAGCAGCAGAGGCAACAGAGGGCAAAAGAGGGGAGGGGGAACACCCCTCAAAGATGGGGGTGCGAGGGTCACCACGAGAGGCTCCTACAGCGACTATGCTCTTTTCTGCTGCTAGGAGTGCCTTCTCGAGGAGTTCAACGGTGAGAGTGGTGGGACAAACCGAGAGGAAGTGGTCCCTGACTACGCGAAGGGAGTCAGGGAGACGGGTGACTATGTAGTAGAGGGTGATGTACATGGGGGGGGGTTCTTGGCGCAGAACTCAGCAGGAAGCGCAGCGCGGTAGCGAGTGTCACTAGTGCGGAGGTGCGTAATGAGGTCAGCGACTGTGGGAAAGGCAGCAAGGTCAGGGAAGAGGTACGGTAGCATGAGGCGGCTCAGTGCAGCAGTGGCAGGGGAGGAGTAGCGTGCAACTACAGCGTCGTACAAGGTCTGAGCACTCTTGTACTGGCTAAAGTGCGCACGCTCAGAGGTAGGTAGGTGGCGACGCACAGCAAGACGTGCAGCAGCATCGCGCGTGGCCCACTGTGAGCGAACAGTGGCGTCAGCATCAGCAGCGGGGGAAGGAGAGGCACCAGAAGTGAGGTCAAAGAGGGAGAGGCCGTCTGCTCTGTCGCACTGTAAGAAAAGCTGCAGGTCATCTATCCAGACGTCAAAGTCAATGGCCCGACCCTCAGCGTCAAAAGCGAGGACACTAGGGGTAGCCATGACAGCAGTAGACTAGCAGTGCAAACAGTAGGGTGAGGGCAGTGCTGTGAGAGAGGCGCTGCTCTTACCGGACAGGGCGGTTCGGGCGGCTCGGCTGCAGGGCGGCTCGGCTGCTGGGCGGCTCGGCGGCTCGGCGGCTCGGCGGCTGGGCGGCTCGGCGGCTGGGCGGCTCGGCTGCTGGGCGGCTCGGCTGCTGGGCGTATCGGCGGCAGGGCGGCTCGGCTGCTGGGCGGCTCGGCTGCTGGGCGGCTCAGCGGCTGGGCGGCTCGGTTGCTGGGCGGCTCGGCGGGTGGGCTGCTCGTAGGAGTAGGAGCGGGGGGGGCCGTAGGAGCAGGCGCCGGGGCCGTAGGAGCAGGGGCCGGAGGCCGCTAGGGCGGCGGATCGGGGCCGCGAGGGCGGCGGATCGGGGCCGCGAGGGCGGCGGAGTAGGGGCCGCGAGTGCGGCGGAGTAGGGGCCGCGAGGGCGGCAGATCGGGGCCGCGAGGGCGGCGAATCGGGGCCGCGAGGGCGGCAGAGTAGGGGCCGCGAGGGCGGCGGATCGGGGCCGCGAAGGGCGGCGGATCGAGGGCCGCGAGAGCGGCTGAGCGGGGCCGCGAGGGCGGCGGATCGGGGCCGCGAAGGGCGGCGGATCAGGGGCCGCGAGGGCGGCGGAGCGGGGCCGCGAGGGCGGCGGATCGGGGCCGCGAGGGCGGCGGATCGGGGCCGCGAGGGCGGCGGAGTAGGGGCCGCGAAGGGCGGCGGATAGAGCCGCGAGGGCGGCTCGAAGGGGGCCGCGAGGGCGGCACGAAGGGGCCGCTAGGGCGGCGCGAGAGAGGGGAGCGCGACTCGGGCAGGGGCTGAGTGCGCTCCGGGCAGGAAAAAAAAACGGTGGGCCTTAGGAACAGTTCCCACGGGGGAACCTGCTCGATACCATGAGAAGAAACAAGGAATGAATGAACTATGAATGAATTGGGTACAAGTACTAACCCTAATTGGGTTGTACCCCTTATGGGCTACCCCACTATAGCCTACACAATATGCATGAGCTATAATGTTCTGACAGCCCGTGCGCAGCTCGCTAGTGCCGCGCGCGGCCTTTTTTTTAGCGCGCGTAGCCCGCTAGCAGCCCGCGCGCGGCCTTTTCTGAGCGCGCGCCGACCCCTAGCCGCCCGCGTGACCGGCGCCGCCCACGAGCAGCCCCCTAGCCGCCCGTCGACCGCCGCCCAGAGCGTCGCAGCCTCGCCCGTAGGCCGCCGCGACGCCCCTCTAGGCCGCCGCCCGCGCGCTAGTCAGGCCCACGCACAGCCACGGCCCGCCCGCTATAGCCGCCCACGCGCACGCCCCCCCGTCGCGCACCGCCGCGTAGCCCAGTCCGAGCCGAGCCGCGCCGCCCGAACCGAGCCGCGCCGCCCGAACCGAGCCGCGCCGCCCTGGCCGAGCCGAGCCGCCCTACTGTGCCCCACCTGCAGCAACTCCTGTTCCTGTTCCTGCCGTACTACTGTTTCAGCTGCTACTGTTACTGCTACTGCTACTACTGCTACTGTTCCTACTGCTGCTACTGCCACTATGGCCACTCCCTCTGTTCTCACCTTTGACGCTGAGGGCCGCCCGATTAAGTTTGAGGTTTGGTTAGATGACCTGCACCTGTTCCTCCAGATCACTGCCAAGGACGATGTCTCCCTGTATGACCACACGTTAGGCGCCGCTCCCGCACCTGCCACTACTGCTGACAGTACTGCTCGCTCCCAGTGGCAGACCCGTGATGCTCACGCTCGCCTAGCCGTTCGCAGCCACCTGCCGTTAGATGAGGGCGAGCACTTCGGCCAGCACAAGACCGCTAAGGAGCTGTACGATGCAGTAGTCGCGCGCTACTCCTCCCCTGCCACTGCTGCTATATGCCGTCTCTCACTGCCCTACCTCTTCCCCGACCTGTCCGCCTTTGCCACTGTAGCTGACCTCATCACCCACCTCCGTACCAGTGACCTCCGCTACCGTGCAGCGCTCCCCCCCGATTTCCTCGCCAAGAACCCCCCCCCCCGATGTACCTCACACTGTACCACCTTGTCACCCGCCTCCCTGACTCCCTTCGCACTGTCAGGGACCAGTTTCTCGCCCTCTCCCCCACTGACCTCACTGTCGACCTCCTCGAGAAGGAACTCCTAGCAGCTGAGAAGAGCATTGTAGCTGGAGGTGCCTCTCGTGGTGACCCCCGCTCCCCCTTCTTTGAGGGGTGCTCCCCCTCCCCCCTCCTCCCCTCCATTGCATCTGCTGCTGCTGTCGACTACCTCGGAGCTGAGGGGGTCGGGGCTGCGTCTGCTCCTAGTGGGAGGCGCAAGGGCGGCAGGGGCAAGGGGGGCAGGGGTGGTGGAGGTGGAGGCGGGGGCGGCGGCGGTGGAGGGGGTGGGGGGGGCGGGAGTGGTGGCGGAGGTGGGAGTGGCGCGGGTGGTGGGAGGGTCAGTGGCGGCACAGGGGGTGGTGGCGGCGGCGGTGGTGGGGGTGGTGGGGGCGGTGGTGGCAGTGGTGGCGGCGGTGGAGCGGGTGGCGGGCGCGGTGGAGCGGTGCAGCGTGGGGGGTTCGGCGGTGGCCAGAGGCAGCAGCAGCAGCGTCCCGGCGAGACTCCCTCGCCCCAGCAGCTTCGTGAGTGGTACTCTCAGCGTGGGGGGTCTGGGGGTGGAGGTACCTGCCCGTACGTCATCCGCACAGGTGACCGCACTGGCCAGACCTGTGGGAGGTTTCACACGGCGCAGCGCTGCTTCTTTCGTCTCGACGCCGCCTGGCGTGAGCAGTTTCCTGACGCCACTGAGCTGCCCCGCTGGGCTGATCTGCTTAAGAAGGGAATTGATATCTTTGCTCTTGATTATGATGCTATCCTTGCTGCTATGTATGCATTGACCATTAGTGTTGAGGGTGACTGTTACCTGTGTGTACCGCCCGACCCGGGTATTGGGACCAGTGAGGCTGCAGCTCTAGGTGCTAGTGCGTCTGCTGCTCTAGGTCCTGGTGAGGCTGCTGCTCTAGGTGCTCGTGCGTCTGCGTCTGCTGGTACCGCGTCTACTGAGGCACTCCACACCTTCACACTGGACTCAGGTGCTTCCCGCTGTTTCTTTCGCGACCGCACTGCTCTAGAGCAGCTTCCTAGACCGGTTGCTGTCTCCCTGGCTGACCCCTCCGGGGGTCCGGTCCTTGCGAACTCCACCACTGCCCTCCCCTGTCCTGCTGTCCCGTCTGGCACACTGTCTGGCCTTTACCTCCCCTCGTTCTCTACGAACTTGGTGGCGGGTTCCGCGCTTCAGGACACGGGTGTTCACCAGTTCACCCCTGCCTACGAGCGTGTGACGCACTGCACGTGTGCCCAGACGGGTCGTCACCTGGCTACCTTCACTCGGCAGCCGGGGTCGGACTTGTACACACTGACCACTGAGTCCCCTCAGGTAGATGCGTCTGCGTCTGCGTCAGGTCAGCTGTCTGCCCCCTGTTCGTGTCGCTCCCTGTCGCACCGGACTGTCCTCTGGCACCACCGCCTTGGTCACCCGTCAGTGCAGCGCCTTCGCGGCATGCACTCCCGGTACCTTGTCTCTGGTCTTCCCAGGGTTCTCCCTCCCCTCCCACCCTCACCTGCTCCTCCCTGTCTTCCCTGTGTCGAGGGGCGGCAGCGCGCCGCTCCTCACTCCTCCTCGTTCCCTCCCACAGAGGCTCCCCTGCAGACTCTCCACCTGGACATGTGGGGCCCAGCCCGCATCCGGGGACAGGGCCACGAGCGGTACTTCCTGCTGGTCGTCGACGACTACACGCGCTACACCACGGTCTTCCCCTTGCGCACCAAGGGTGAGGTCCCTGATGTTTTGATCCCTTGGATCCGCGCTGCTCGTCTCCAGCTCCGCGAGCGGTTCCAGTCGGACTTTCCCGTCCTGCGTCTGCACTCTGACAGAGGCGGCGAGTTTTCCTCCGACCTCTTGGCAGCCTACTGTGCGGAGCGCGGCATCCGCCAGACGTTCACTCTTCCGGCCTCTCCGCAGCAGAATGGGGTTGCTGAGCGCCGCATTGGTCTAGTCATGGAGGTCGCTCGTACCTCCATGATCCATGCGGCTGCCCCCCATTTCCTGTGGCCGTTTGCAGTGCAGTACGCCGCGCATCAGCTCAACCTCTGGCCCCGTGTCTCTGCTCCAGAGATCCTCTCCCACACTGCTGTGGACGGGGCAGGTTGGCGATGCGTCGCGTTTCCGGGTCTGGGGTGCTCGTGCCTTTGTCCGCGATACCACTGCGGACAAGCTCTCCGCCCGCGCTGTGCCCTGTGTCTTCCTTGGCTTTGTTCCCGACGCGCCTGGTTGGCAGTTTTACCATCCCACCTCGCGCCGTGTCTTCCCCTCTCAGGACGTCACCTTTGACGAGTCGGTACCCTTTTACCGTCTGTTCCCCTACCGCACTGCTCCGCTCCCCCCCCCGCCTCTCTTCCTCACCCCAGGTGCCCCTTCGGTAGACCCCCTCCCTCCCCAAGGTCCTGCTCCCTCAGGTGTTTCCCACGTAGACGCAGTCGAGCCTGTCGAGGTAGCTGTTGACTCTGGTCCTGAGAGGGGTACTGAGCCTGGGGGTGCTGAGGCTGGCGGTACTGAGCCTGGGGGTGCTGAGACTGGGGGTGCTGAGCCTGGGGGTGCTGAGCCTGGGGGTACTGAGACTGCGGGTGCTGAGCCTGGGGGTGCTGAGACTGAGGGTGCTGAGCCTGGGGGTGCTGAGACTGCGGGTGCTGAGCCTGGGGGTACTGAGACTGGGGGTGCTGAGCCTGGGGGTGCTGAGCCTGGTGGCGCTCCCTCTTCACAGCAGCTGCGTGAGTGGTACTCTCAGCGTTGCGGCCTCCGGCGTGGGGCTACTGGAGCTACGGGTACTGTGTCGCGGCCAGAGCCTCCCTCCCCTCAGCGGCTACGTGAGTGGTACGCTCGGCGCTGCAGCCTCCGGAGTGGAGCTCCTAGTTTTGAGGTGCCGCCTGCTGGAGGCCCTGCTGCTACTGGAGGTGCTGCTGGTGCTGC